CACCCCAGCGTCAACCTGCTGGGCTCAGGCGATCCTTCCACCTCAGCCTTCCAAGTAGCTAGAACTACAGGCTCACTCTACCATGTACAGCTAATTTTTGATTTATTGTAGAGACGAGGTCTCACCAAGTTGCCCAGGCTGGACTCAAACCCGTGGGTTCAGGCAATCCACTCTCCTCAGCCTCCCAAACTGCTGGGATTACAGACTGAGCCACTGAGCCCAGCCAACTGTTGATATTTACATTCAAAAAGTACAAAACGTTATTTAAAGTCTCTTTTTCAACTGAACACAATGGCTCATGCCTGTAATCCCAGCACTTTGGGAGGCAGAGGCAGAGGCTTACCTGAGCCCACAGGTTTGAGACCAACCTGGGCAACTTGTGTCTACAACAAATCAAAAAACTAGCCGGACATGGTGGTGTGTGCCTGTAGTTGCAGCTACTTGGAAGGCTGAGGCGGAAAGATGGCCTGAGCCCAGCAGGTCGAGGCTGCAGTGGCTGTGAGCGTGCCACTGCACTCCAGCCTGGGTGACAGTGAGACTCCTACTCAAAACTAAGTAAATAAATAAGTCTCCATCTCACCCCTGCTCCATGGAGACAACCCATTACCAGTTTCCTGCAACGGATTACTCCAGAAATAATGGCTGGGTCGAGGCTGGGGACTGTCCAGGCTCTGCTGTCCATAGGCCCTCGCTCACGTGTAACTTCCACCTTCCTCCCCTGTTTCCAGAGGCCCCGCTGACAACCCTCAGGCAGGAGGACGACCATGCTATGACAGCAGTGAAGTGAAGGCCAAGAAGGAGAAAGTCGAGGACTGCTGACAGCCTGTGCTGCACCCAGGAGCTGCTACTTTTACTGCCATGGTTGTGCAGAACAGTGCGGACGCTGGTGATGCCAGGGTGGGCGTGCAGCTGGAGCCCTTCCTGCACCAGGTCGGGGGACACCTGAGCGTCATGAAGTACGACGAGCACACCGTGTGCAAGCCCCTCATCTCCCGCGAGCAGAGGTTCTACGAATCCCTGCCGCTGGCCATGAAGCAGTTCACACCGCAGTACAAAGGTGAGGGTCCTGCAGCCAGGCTGCGTCCCGGCATCACCCCCACCCTGGGCCTGGGCTCACCTGCACAGCTGGGTGTTCTAGGGTTGCCATGGAGACAGGCCCCCTCCTGGTGGGGCTGGCCCTTACTGGCCTAGTTCCTCTGAACTCTTCAAGACTCAGGGTCTGGAGTGTACTGCTGTTAGGCTTCCCTACAAATGAGCTCAAGCCACCAGGCTTCGAGGAATTGAGGAATTGGGAAGGGAATAAAACAACATTCCAAGTCAGGCTCGGTGGCTCAGCCTGTAATCCCGCACTTTGGGAGGTTGAGGTGAGTAGATTGTCTGAGCCCGCGGGTTCGAGACCCGCCTGGGCAACTTGGCGAGACCTCATCTCTACAATAAATCAAAAATTAGCCGGGTGTGGTAGCACGCGCCTGTAGTTCCAGCTACTTGGAGGGCTGAGGCGGAAGGATCACCGGAGCCCAGCAGGTCGGGAGCCCGCTCCCGAGCCACTGCACTCCAGTCTAGGTGACAGAGTGAGACTCCAACTCAAAAAAAAAAAACAAAAACCCAGGACAGATAGAGGCCTCTTAAGCTCCCTCTGAAAGCCCAGGTGGGTGGCAGGAGCCTCAGGCCTAGGAAAGGGTGTGCAGGAACTGGGACATGGCTTGTTCAGGAAGCTGGAATTTCCACCCATACTCAGGAAGGGACAAAGCAGGGGAATAGGCTGCCGCCCATGTGTGACCAAGGAAGCTTCTGCATGGGCCTGGATCTGACCACAAGGTGAGTAGGAAGGGTGCTGTCTGCTGACCTCCGGGCAGGGGCTGGACTACCCAGGGCAGACTCACACCCAGCCTTTGGTAAATGAGGCTCATGGGGTCAGGGCGTGACTGCCAGGCCACCAGCCTGGCACTGGGATAAGAGCTCAGAGAAAAGACCTCCTCAGAAGACTTTAGATTTCATGACACAAGCAGTAGTCCTTGTTGTTTAAGTGTCTGTGGTAAAGGTGATAATAGTATCCAGATACTAGCATTGAAAAGACTACTTGCATTTCCATGAGCAAGATAACCGGCAAGGATGGGCCTCTCTGCACTGTGTTTCTCAAGGTGCAAACTGGCCTGGTCAACCAACTTGACCAGCATCACGTGTGTGTGCATGTGGGCATGCTTGCACGCATGTGCACCCAGGTGTGAATCAGAATCCCTGGGGCCCTGGGACAAGGCCCAGGAATCCGTATCTAGTATGGTCCAGACTTGCCACCGGGGGGGGACCAGGACCTAGAGCCCCAGGCACCACCTCTGAGCATTGCTTCCCCCATGCCTGGCCTTCAGATTGGCCTGCCAGGACCTTCTGAGAGTCTAAGACAAGACAGATCATCATCACACGCTGAGAGATGCAGGAGGATGGCCCGTGGGCCCGGGACGGCCTCCGCTCTCCCCTGGGGTCTCCTGGGGCGCAGGCTGGTGCTGCCTGGCTGGTTGTGGGTCATTGCCCATCTTGTCAGAGCACCCACTGGAATTAATGTCTGTCCCTTTCACAACTGAACTCGGCCCAGCAAAGGGGAGGCAGGGCCGTATGTGGGGTGGCCTCCCACCAGTAGTACTTCACGCTTACTCCACACACTCTGGAGCTGAGATGGAATGCGGGGCAGCCGCAGGCAGAGAGGGAGAGGAAGAGAGGTGGCCTGGTCTTTAGGAAGCCATCCTGGTCCCCTCCCCTGCTCCCTGTCTGCATGGCAAAGCCTCTAGGAGGGTGGGAGGACCCCACTCTCAAGTGCACACTGGCACTGGTCTGCTGTCCTGTCCTCCACTCTGCCTGCCTTTCCCTTCGGGCTGGGCCCAGTCCAGTGCTATCCCCCTTGGGGCTCTGCTAACTTGATAAATTAATTTGAGCCAGAGAGTCACAGCCAAATATATCAGCCACAGAGGATGCTTCAGTGTCTGCCTTTGGGGCTTCACACAGGAGATGGTGTTTCTAAACCAATCAGGAGCAGTTCTGTGACATCCTTCCGATGAGACTCCACAACTGACCACCTACCCTGCCCGTGGGTGGGGGGAGACAGAGCTGTGGGCTAGGGCTACATGAGGTTTTGATGAAGCAGAAACGCTGATTCACTCACCGACCAGAACAAGACTCACACAGGGCCCCTGTCCAAGCACTGACTAATGAAACACACACATTTAAGGAGACCTGGGGAAAGGCCCAGAACAGGACTCACGTTCTCAGACACCTGGGTAGAGATGGGAGGACAGGGGGCTGAGTGCAAGTGTAGGTGGACAAGTCCCTGAGAGGGTTCCCAGATGGTGCAGGCTGCTTGTATCACCAAAGAAAAATCATATCAGCTAGCTTAGTGTCTGCTCTGTGTCTGATACCACTGCAAGTGGTTTTTGGGCACTGATTCAAGCAATCTTCACAACTTGCGGAGGTGGGAACCTTTATGTCATAGATGAGGAAACTGAGGCACAGAGGGCTTACCTGGCTTGCCTGAGGCCACACAGCTAGTGGGAGGTGGTGCCAGGACTCGAAGCCCCAGGTCTGGCTCCCTAGTGTGGGCTCTTAGCCATACTGGCCCACTCCACCCAGCTACACTGTTACTGAAGGGATGGACTCAAGTGTCAGCACTCAGGGGTCCTCCAGCTCGAGGAGGGAGCCAGTGACCTCAGGTCAGGGAGACTCGAATCCCCATGAAGCTGCCACAGAGGTGGGTCTACCCTTTCTCCTCGATAGGGACAGAGACCCAGAGACAAGGGGGCCATTTCTGAAGTGACCACTGCATGCCACGGAGCACACCCTCTCTTTCTGCTGGCCTGCACCATGATGGAAGGATGCCATTCCAAAGGGCAGCCTCCTTTGCCAGAAAGCTCACCTGGGACCTTTGCCGGGCTTCTCAGGCAGAACAGCACCTTGGGGCCGCATCCCCTTGCCTCCCAGCCCGCCTGTTGGCTTTGGGCAGATGGGGACATAGCCTTAGGTCCAGTTGGTTAATGGCCGAGCCGCTTCATATTACAGACAGTGGTGAGTAAATGCTCTCATAAGCTTAAAAATAAATACATGACAGAGTACTCACTGGGACTCAGGAAGCTGCTCGGCCAAACCAAAATTGCTGAGATGCTCTGGGCATGCCAATTGTGGCAGTAAGCACTCCTGTCTGCCTAGCTGGCATGGTCTCCAGGTGAGGGGCTAGTGGGAAGACAGAGCAGGGCTCTAGCTGGATCCCGCACGTTCCTGGTCAGGAGAGCTCTAGGAGCCCAGGGGTCTCCAAGGCCTCAATCCCACAGACAGACGGGGCCAGCCAGAGGCCAGGCTGGAGTCCAGGTGGCTCTTGATGAAAAGAACAAGTCAAGCACCAAGGAGTCTGGGTTCCATGATGTGCTGCTTTATCAAGGGCAGGCAACCTGAGCCTGTTTGAAAGAGCACGATCTGCTCTGGGCTCCAGACTTTGGAGGGGAGGGCTGGGCCGAGGGAGAGAAGGAGAAGGAGGGGAAGAGACAGAGAGACAGAGGGAGAGAAGGCGAAGGAGGGGAAGAGACAGAGAGACAGAGAGAGAGAGAGAGACAGACAAGAGCCGGAGACAGACACCACCCGTCAGAGGCACGCAGAAAGACAGAGAGAGAGGCAGGGACGCAGAGCATGGCTGTGTAGCTCTGACAATATGAGAAATGGAAATGACTTCTGGATTTTATTGGTTTTGGGTTATTTGCACCTCTGCTCTCCTCCATTTACTCAGACACTCAGAACTGATGAGATCAGACAGGAGCTGGAGCCTGGGGAAGCGGGTGAAGGTCACGTTCCTGTCCCTCCAAGGAGGCCTCCCAGACCCAGGACTGTGGCTGGCCTGTCACCACAGCCTCATGTGTGGAAAGGCCAGGGGGCTGCTGGGTGGCAGCTTGACCAAAAAACCTGTGACTGGCATACCTTCCTGGGCACCAGAGCAGCTGGGAGGCCTCTGAGCTTCCCAAGGGTGGGCACAGAGGCCAGTTAGCTCTGTCCCCTTCGGACACCCGAAGGGATGGGCTCCATGGCCTAGTGCTGGTTTCCAGAAGGTCAGAACTAGCACAATGACCCTCCATCCCCGAGGACATAGGGCTGGGAATGTAAACACCACGCCCTCCTGGCTTGGTGCTCCCAGCCCTTGGTGCTGACAACCCTCTCCTGAGGTGGAAGAAGCACGGCCTCTCTGTTACCTCCCATGGAACAGAATGGCCAGAACAAATGTGATTGGGACACAGCATGAATGTTTATCTTGCAGACTCAGGGTAAACATAGCGTGACGACACCAGACCCTCCCGAGAGTCCTTGGCTCTGTGTAACCGCTTGTCCCTTCTTCTGCACCCATGTCCAATGTAGCCTTCTCAGAGCGCCTCCCATGCCAACCACGTGACCTTGGGCAGGTTATTCTATTTCTCTGAGCCTCGGCGTCCACCGTCACTGGCCTTACAGGCATGTTGTGACATAGCAAAGAGAAAGCACAGTGCCACCCATGGCAGGTGGGGATACAGGATGGCTGTGACGCTTCGTGATTCCTTCCCAACTTGCCATCAGCCCCTTCCCCTCACAAGTAGGACAGCTGTGCTGGGCTTGGCCGGGGATGACTACTGGAGGCGGGCAACTGGTAAAGTGCCAGGTTTAGGGACAGTGTTATTGTTACCGTCGTGATTACTTCACAGGACATGGGAGCCTGGGACAAGGTGAGCGAAAGCGGAGTTTTCTTAGGAGCTGGTGAGGACTGAATGTCACTCTCAGGCTGCAAAATGAGGGCACTGGGAATCTGAGATGACAGGACCGGCCCAGGGAGACCGCTGAGCTAGGCACAGGCAGCTCTGGAGAGCGACTTGCTAAATTATAGAGCAGCTTTGAAAATGAGTGTCTGTGCTAGCCAGCCAGGAGGGCCTGGGCAGGCACGCACGCAGGGAGATCAGCTGCCTTCATGGCTTGCTCAGCAGAAACTGCCACTTACTCTGAGAAGGTGACCAAGTGGCCAGGGGAGGAACAAACACCTTGGCAAATACACAAACATATGCGCCCCCACTCTCAGTTGGGGTCCCAGAGAAAACAAACTGTACATGCAAAAGGGGTTCAGCCAGGCTCAGTGGCTCAGCCTGTAATCCCGCGCCTTTGGGAAGCTGAGGTGAGTGGATTGCCTGAGCCCATGGGTTCGAGACCCGCCTGGGCAACTTGGCGAGACCTCATCTCTACAATAAATCAAAAATTAGCCGGGCGTGGTAGCACGCGCCTGTTGTTCCAGCTACTTGGAAGGCTGAGGCAGAAGGATCGCCGGAGCCCAGCAGGTCGAGGCTGCGGTGGCCGGGAGCGGCCACTGCACTCCAATCTGGGCGACAGAGTGAGACTCCAACTCAAAAAAAAAAAAGGGAGCCGGGCTCGGTGGCTCAGCCTGTAATCCCGCACCTTTGGGAGGCTGAGGTGAGTGGATTGCCTGAGCCCGCGGGTTCAAGACCCGCCTGGGCAGCGAGACCTCATCTCTACAATAAATCAAAAAATCAGCCGGGCGTGGTAGCGCATGCCTGTAGTTCCTGCTACTTGGAAGGCTGAGGCGGAAGGATCGCCGGAGCCTAGCAGGTCGAGGCTGCGGTGACCGGGAGCGGCCACTGCACTCCAGTCTGGGCGACAGAGTGAGACTCCAACTCAAAAAAAAAAAAAGGGTTCAATGAAGGGAATCTTCAAAAGGAACTCTCTGCAGAAACACATGCAGGACTCAAGAACAACCAGGGATGGGGCTCTCAGCAACACAGGAGAACCATAACCCTCCGGCCAGAATGCCAAGGTGAGGGAACCATATCAGGGACCCAGCGAAAGTGGAGACCCCAGAGGAGCACGGCACGATATGAACACAGACCAGCCCTGGTGGACCAGGGAGGGTACCAGAGAAATAAGACTTTCTCCTCCCACATTCCTGGCTCCTGCCAGTGCCCCCCACTGGGCAAACCCTCTGGGAAACCAGAGGGCAAGGAAGCCACTAGTAAACTCCACAGGCAGCCAGCAGGACAGAAAGGGTGGAGAGTGGACAGTGAGATGGGTACAGACAGAGAAGACCCTCTCAACAGCTGCAGGAAGGAGGGGAGACTAGTACTCCCACCTCCGGCCCTTACAAACCCACAGCATGGCCACCCACTAGAGGCCGGGTTCCATGGAGGAAGGCTCAGGCTCTGCCACCAGAGCAAGGAGTCTAGAGGGTGCCACAGAGCTGTCAATGTGCCTGCCACAGCTAACTGCCCAGCTGGCCGGTGCCCTGGGAAGAACTCCCATTAGCACGTTTGTCAAATGGGCTTCCGGGTACCCTTGACTTCTACAGCCAGTGGCTTCTGTGCCTTGAGTATTCAGATGACAGGAGGTACAGTAGCTGGGGAACCTCAAAAGTCTTCTGTTCCACCAAAGAACCACGTGCCACCAGGCATCTTCATGTGCGATGCAGCCAACAGAGGGAGTGGTCGACCCCCCACCAACTGCCCTGCATCTGTGTGGAAGGGCAGAGATGGGGGAGTGGGGGAGGGGATAGCCAAGAGTCCTGAGCCCTAGAAGTCTCTGTGAGGAAGGCTTCCTAGAAGAAGCCTGTCAGATAAAGATACATGGGAAGAAAGGGGTGATACAGGAGGCAGAGGGGAAGTGGGAGAAGTGGGGTGGGCCCCGACTTCCCTTCCTGCCGCCTGAGGCAGAGGCCCCTTTGCAGGGCACCAGCTTGGGCACAGCTGGGCTGGCTGTGGTGTGACCAGAGGGTGTGCCTGTGCAGAGAGGAGTTGGAATGCAAGGACAAATGTATGGGGCTGGCTTTGTTTAAAGCGTGAAGGGAACCGGGCTTGGTGGCTCAGCCTGTAATCCCGCGCCTTGGGAGGCTGAGGTGAGTGGATTGCCTGAGCCCGCGGGTTTGAGACCTGCCTGGGCAACTTGGCGAGACCTCATCTCTACAATAAATCAAAACTCACTGAGCCCACTGGTTTGAGACCCACCTGGACAACTTGGTGAGACCTCATCTCTACAATAAATCAAAAATTAGCCGGGCGTAGTAGCGCGCACCTGTAGTTCCCGCTACTTGGAAGGCTGAGGCGGAAGGATCGCCAGAGCCCAGCAGGTCGAGGCTGTGGTGACCAGGAGCGGCCACTGCACTCCAGTCTGGGCGACAGAGTGAGACTCCAACTCAAAAAAAAAAGCACGAAGGGACAGAGAAGTGGGGTGAAGCTGAGGATGTGCCAAGATCAGCTCAAGGCAATTTTCTATGAGCTCCATGGCTCTGGGCTCATCCTGGGACAGGATCCAGTCTGGGTGAAACCAGGCCAATCCCACAGCTCTTCCTTGACAGAGGGTATGGGAAAGGGGAGAAGTCGACCAGGCCATTAAGGTAAATTCCAAACCTGTCACCCACCGCCACGTGCCCATGGAGGTGCTGTCTGACCTCTCCCTTCCCTCCCTGTGTGTTCTGCAGGCACCATCACAGTGCACCTTTGGAAAGACAGCACTGGCCACCTCAGCCTGGTTGCCAACCCACTAAAGGAGAACCAGGAGCCCTTCAAGGTTTCCACAGAGTCGGCGGCAGTGACCATCTGGCAGACGCTCCAGCAGACCACAAGCGGCACCAGTGGCGCCCATGCCCTCGCCAGCTGGCCACATGCCCAAGTGGCACGTTTGCCCAAGGAGAGGTAAGGCCACCGCACAGGATGGCAGAAACCCAGCGGCGTATCCCTCAGCAGGGGCCAGTACTGCTCCCACCTGTACCCCAGGCAACCACACCCCGTTAAGGCTGACAACGAGAAAATGAGAAATTCAGATGCAGGCTCTGTCTAGAATAGCCAGTGTGACCAAAGAAAGGGGTGGATTTTCTTTATGCCACTTCTACAGGGAGGATTACGAGGTATTTTATCTCAGAAGCTGATGCACAGGCAGATTCTACCCAGAATGGGTATTCAGTACATATTTGTTTAATTAAATACCAGTTTCACTGAGACCATCAAGCGTCTCTGGAGGAGAATGTGCAGAACAAAAACCCCAGAATAGTTAATATAAAGGAAAACTGTGGCTAATTGCTCTCAGAAATCACTTCTTTTCTTAGCAGAAAGGACTGGACGGATGAGCAGGGAGGTCAATGCAGCCACTCAGTGGGTCCCTGGAGACATGGCGGGGGGTCGCTGAAGAGAGGCCTCCAAAACCTTTCAGTGTCAGCTGACCTTTCTCAGATGAAAAGGATCCCTGGGGATTTTTTTTTACCATTTATGGGAAACAAAAGGGAGCTAATACAATGAAAATACCTCCCTTCCCAAAGGAGCACAGCAGATCTAATTAAGCCTCTTGGCTCTGCTTCAGGAAGCCAGGCACATTATCTCCATTTCACAGATGGGGAAGCCGAGATGCAGAGAGGACAGGAGCCAAGGTTCTGGGGCTCCCCCTGCACCCCCAACTCCCTACAATTTGTGAGGTCTCAGGGAGAGAATGACCCCCAGAGTGTCAGTCTAAATCCCAGTCTTGTGATTCTGGTTGGGGCTGCTGCCCAGAACTATGTTGCCTCGATAGTAAGATCAGGGCAAACCCTTCAGGTCCCCTCCCACTGTGGGAGCTTTTCTGTCCTCTCAATAAACCCTGCTTAAAAAAAAATAGTAAGATCACTAATCATCTAGACCACTTACAAGTAAGTTTAAATCGCCTGAACTCTCTGAGAGGGTGACACACTCTGATGAGTTATTCCCAGGTTTAGAGAAACCCCCTAAGGACTGCAGTGAAGCATGATCTGGTCCCCGACCCAGTAGGGCAAGGAGGGCACTCCAGGCCCCACAGAGTGCTCCAGCAGACTGGTGAGAGTAGCCTGGGACAGCCCCCTCAGAGCCTGTCCCAAAGAGCCCAGCCAGTCACAGACATGGGCACCTTCTCCAGACCTCTGCATTGACCGTCATGTGCTTCCCTCAACTGCAGCCCGGCCAAGACGCTCCTGAGGTCTGAGTCCCACCTCAAAGTTCAAGTCTCCTCGCTGGTGGAAGATGCTAATGGAAACCAGATTGAGAGGAAGAGCTTCAACCCGTGGGGCCTGCACTGCCACCAGGCCCACCTGACCCGCCTGTGCTCCGAGTACCCGGAGAATAAGCGGCACCGTATCCTTACCAGCCTTTCCCACTGCACGGGGTCCCAAGGGAGACAAAAGAGACAGAGAGACAGAGAGACATGGGGACAGGGGTAGGAAAGGGAAACAGATACATACGGGGGCCAAGGAGGGTGGGCACAAACCCTCAAACCTGGGACCTAGCGGAAATCAGCTCCCTCCAAAAGAGAAATCAGACAGACGTTGGACTAGAAATGAGGCTGTGCACAGAGCCCCTGGTGGGGCCACTGACTGTACATTAAGCATGGGTTGCGGTGGGGGTCTCTGTGGTCAGACAGGAATGATTAATGCTGGGTAGGAGCAGCAGCAGGTTCAGAGAGCTGGATGGGTCCCCAGCCCCAACCTCCCTTCTATCTCTCAAACCCTCCCTGCAGGTGTCCTCCTGGGGCCCTGGAGTGAGAGAAGCATGTGCCTCCCCTTTAGGGAAGTGCCCTCAGGGTAGACCCTGGGAAGAGGCCCCCTTCCCCACAGGGAGCACATTTGGGTCTGAAATGCCCCTTCATCACCACTAGGCTCCTTCCTGCAAACGCGTGGCTGGCTTCACAGTATTTAGGAAGACACATCTGCAAACCTAATCCCTAAGAAGCTTTTGCAGGATAATTACTCCACTGAAATTAATATTCTTGCAACTCATCTCCAAAGCTAACATCAACCCACTTCGCCCAAAAGGTATTGGTCCATTCAGTGACTGGAAGTTTTAGCCTTATGATTTTCTGCCATAAAATGTAAATTGGGCATGGCCTGCCAGGGATTTCACGCCTGCATTTAAATTTCAACCTCAGAGCAAAACGTAAAAAGAAAAAAGCTCACATACTCATAAACTCCCCCTAAATAAATGGACTTATTAGAGCAGCCTGCAAAGCTAATACCTTGAATTCTCTTTTTTTTTTTTTTTTAGGTTAGAAAATATAGTTTATTTAAAAGTAAATTGGATGCCTGAGCCCACGGGTTCGAGACCCGCTTGGGCAGTGAGACCTCATCTCTACAATAAATCAAAAACACCAAGCCCTGCCTACCTTGAATTCTTAATAGCAAGGATGAGCTTGTGTGTAAGGAAGGAAGGAGTGAAAGAACGAATACCCCAAATCGGGTATGTCTAGGCAGCTTCCCAGTGTACAGAGGTCTCTGGTGGGGCAAAGCCTCGAAATCCTTGGAGCCTTCCTTAACTAAGTGTGACTAGGGTTCTTGCTGCTGGAAAACGTAGTGTCGCAGTACACGTATCCCTGCATCCTGGACCTGAAGATGGGGACCCGGCAGCACGGCGATGACGTATCCGAGGAGAAGAAGGCCCGCCACATAAGGAAGTGTGCACAGAGCACCTCAGCCTGCCTGGGCGTGCGCATCTGTGGCATGCAGGTAGGTCATGAGGGCACGCCTTGGTAGGGGAGGTGGCACCCTGGCATGTCCATGGCAGGGCAAGGGTGTCTCCCAACTAGATACCACTGCCCCCACTGCAGAACTCTTCACATTGTTTTTTTTTTCGGGGGGGGTTGAGTTGGAGTCTCACTCCTTCACCCGGGCTGGAGTGCAGTGGCATGCATGCTCACGGCCACCCCAGAGTCGACCTGCTGAGCTCCGGCGTTCCTTCTACCTCAGCCTTCCGAGTAGCTGGAACTACAGACACGACCTACCACGCCCCAGCTATTTTTTATTTTATTGTAGAGATGAAGTCTCACCAAGTTGCCCGGGCTGGTCTCAAGCCCACGGACTCCGGCAATCCACTCTCCTCGGCCTCCCAAAGTGCTGGGATTACAGGCTGAGCCACCGAGCCCGGCCGAGCCCTTCACTTTGGGGAAGCAACAGAGGACGAAGCCAGGAGCCACTCTTTCAACAAGAGCATGCATATCCTGGTCTATGACAGGCTGGGTTTTTTCAGGATAGTGGTGTCAAACACCCACTACTTTGAACTCGATCTCAGTCTCTGGCAGCTGAAACTTTCCACAGTGGCCACGTGGCTGCTGCCCATGTTGTGAAGAGACCTTTGATGACAGTGTGTGGGCAGGGACGGGAGGAAGAACTAAGAGAAGGAGTTTCTTGCTCACTCTGCAGCTTCCTGAGTTTCTCCTCCTCTTGGAGGATAGAGCTGGGGCCTCTCCTTCTCAGATGCTGTGCAGCAGTGTGCTCTTTGAATTCCTCTCAGCCATTCCCTCGTCTTCATTCACTCTTTTGGCTTCTTTTTGCTGTCCGTCTGGTTAACAAAGTGGGGAGGTCATGATCTGCCAACCCCAGCCAAGGAATGGTTATTCTCAATAGCCCTGTCTCCGTGCCTCACTCCTGCTGCTGTGATGTGGCTGATGGCAGGGGCTGCGGGAACAGGAGGAAATAAACTTTCTCCACTTGCTCCCTCATATAGTCTGTCTACTCAAAGCAAAACCAGACACCGACTTGACGGTAAACGTTATAGCTTTCCTTAATTGAAACTGCCACCCCTTGAAGCTGGAAGTGCAGTCTATAAATTTGTTGCACAGATGTCCCTTGGAAAGCCTGGAACGCAGTCCTCAAGAGAATGGAGTGTGATGATTTGTGGTGTAAACGGAATCTCTCTCTGGACCTCAAATCTTCTGAAATTGATCTGATTTATTTAGAAACCGACGCCTGTCATGTATTTATGACGGCTAATTTAGCAGCCAATCTCCAGCCCTCCAAAGGCAACAAAGTCTATCGTCTCTTTCTCGTTTTTCCAACACTGGCTTTCTGTAAACATATCATATAATCCGAAGGCAAGAAAGACCTGAGAAACTGTCATGGCCCTGCTAGGTGTGCCAACCAGAGGGGTGCCAAGTCCCCCGCTGACCATGCTAGCCGCTAGCCTCAGTTCAGCCTGTGTGGCTGCCTGTGCCATCTGAATGAAGTGGGGGCGGCTGCCACTGTCCCCCATCAGCATCTCTCTTCCATCTGCTCCCGTCTGGTGGCCAAGACATGACAGGGGAGGGGAGGGATGACGATGCCAAGGAAAGGAGCCATCAGCCCCACAGGGTTGCCGTGAGCCTCCCTTCTCCACCGGGCTCTCCCCAGCTGCACTGGCTATGGACCGCTCTGTCCACACCTGATCTGCCTGCTTTTTATCTTCAAACAATTCACCCCACTCCACCCTGAGAGCCATTTCTGTTTCCTTGGATTCTGCAGAGAAAGGACTTTATAAACTTTGTTGGGGAAAATTTAATCTGGTTGGCTTTCCAAGGCCACTGGCTGTGATTTTGGATTCCTACTAAGGCTTTCTAGCTTGGGCTTGCTAATATTTGAACTGAAGAGGGCCAGAAGCCAGGGCTTAAATCATGCTTTGGAGGTTGATATTGGAAATTCACAAGAAAGGAGATCCAAATGCCTTTCTCGTGGGTGAGGGTCACCTCTGTGGGGTGAAGGATCTTTAGACCTTGGATTACTATTAAAGATTTGCACAGAAAGCATTTTAAAATGTAAAGGCTGCCCTAGTAGTTGATGGAAGACCATCTTCTGCTCATTTTCACCCCTCCTGCCCTGCATCTCCTGGAAATCTGCTCATAGATTATCCTGCTTTGTGATGCTGTAACCATACCACATGTAATTTTTTATAAAGTGTGCGATTCTTCACATTTTCTCTTTCTTATTTTTAATGTAAGGTTTATCAAATGGATAAGAAGCATTTTCTCTGCAAAGACAAGTACTATGGAAGGAAACTCTCAGTGGAGGGGTTCAGACAAGCCCTCTACCAGTTCCTGCATGACGGAACCCACCTCCGCACGGAGCTCCTGGAGCCCATCTTGAGCCAGCTCCGGGCCCTCCTCTCAGTCATCAGGAGCCAGAGTTCATACCGGTTCTACTCCAGTTCTCTCCTCATCATCTATGATGGGCAGCAGCCACTGGCAAGAAGCCCAGCTAGCCTGCACCCACCGGAGGCTCCACAGACGGCCCACAGCAGCTCTCCTGGGGGTCTCACCAAAGTCGACATCCGCATGATCGACTTTGCTCACACCACGTACAAGGGCTCCTGGAACGAGCACACCACCTATGACGGACCAGACCCTGGCTATATTTTTGGCCTGGAAAACCTCATCAGGATCCTGGAGGATATCCCTGGGGGAGAATGAAATTGCTTGGATTTTTCTGGGCTCAGATCTCAAAAAAGGACTCTAGACACCCCTTAGACATCTTTGTAATAATCATATCTACCTTCAAAAGCCGGCTCTATACATGGCCAACTATATCAACCACTGCTAAAGAACTCAGCTCTGCAGGTGACCCCACATACCCTGGCGTCCGGCTCTAATGCTGGTCATTGTGCAGTGGACAGCCAGGATAAAGCGGTGCCGGTCTGAAGTACACAGGAGGGGGCAGCATGAGTTAGAGGCCAGTGTTGCAGTGAGATTCTGGAGTACAGGCATCCAAAAATGCTTTCTTGTCATGCTGCAGTTCTTGCAAGCTGTCCAGCAAAAAACATGACTTGAAGAAGCTTTGAAGAGTGAGTTCATGAGCTCATGGTTTCCATCCTCGTATGGGCTGCCCGCTCCAAGGGCAGACAGAGCTCATGGGTGCCTCTCACCTTCCAAGGGGTGTTCCAGGTGAGGCAGGACAAAGTGGACAGACCTGCCCACCTCACCTGCTTTATATCCAGGCTCTAAGTGGACAAGGACAAGCTCGGTGCATGCACCAGTAAAGCGAGACCCCGGGTTCTCTATCTTTTCCTGTGGAGAGGAGGGTCTCTTTACAGACTTTTTTCTTTTCTTTTGTTTTTTTCAAAATCTGTGATCCCAAGGAATCTCTTTACATACTTCAGAGTGCCTATCAAAAGTGATGATTCTGCCAACTTCTGACCATGAGACGCAGCTTTCAGTGGGCGTGAGATACACAGGAGAAACCACTGGTGTTAAATTACACTCTTCACTTTCTATTTATTTATTTTAGGGGTGGGTTGGAGGAGTCAGAGGAACCTGGAGGACTGAGGAAACCAGGGGCAATGTTTACAAGGCTGGTGGGCAAGTGTAAATATGGAGTCAGAGCAAACAGTTCTAATTAATTCCTTCTTCTGCAGTATGGAAACCTATTACAATGCCCTTGAGTCAAGTACTGCGATACGTTACCCAATTAGGGAAATAAATTTGTTAATAAAATTGCTGAGGTCACCAGTGATTATTGGTGTGCCTTATTACCCTTGCTGTTTGCTTATTCTGATCACACTGTATGGCAGTTCCAATTTATGAGTGACTAGAGTATGCAGCAACAACAGTTCACCGACTTCCTACAAGCCCTCAGGGAACTCGGTGGAAATGGCGGTTGATAGATATTTGCATGAATCTGCAAGGCAGGCACCAGACCCCAGAAGTAAGTGGTCCTTTCCTTTGAAACTTATACAGTGCAAAATTAAGTAAACTGGGGATTCTCATGGATAATTACCCCCAACTTTCCAAAACCCACACTAATAGAAGGAAAGAATGACCTGGAGAATAAAAATTTTTGTTTTATTTTGGAATATGCTAGGTGGATTTCAAAGTAGGTTAACTTCCCAAATTATGCTTGGCTGAGACAACGATGTAATTAATTTGCATGCTCTGTGGCCAGGTTAAGAGAGTTGAGTCAGAGCATGTTGGGTGGCAGGAGGGAGTCAGCCCAAAATGAAACCTTCACTCATGGTAAAGCAGAGCCCCAAATACTGCTTTTCCCAGGCCACTTCCTGGCTTGAGAATCTAGTACCACATCAACCAAGCCCAGAGCTCCCAGGCTTTGCTTCTCATTCCTGTGGGACTTGCCTGAGGATGGGACAGAGATAGTCAGTTGGCACCCAAGTATTCCAGGGCTGGCTCACCCCCATCACTAACTGTGCCACAGCTGTTCTCTGTGGCCTGGGTCCTAATTCCAGCCCATGTGATACCCTGTCTCTTGGCTATTCCTTTACCCAGTGGTACCCTCCATGTGTGAGGCCTTCTTCCTCCTCTCCAAATCATTCAAGGCCCTGACCATGTTCTCATCTCCTCCTGGAGAAGTCCCTGGCAAAAGCGCAATGTATTGGGGGGGGCAAAATTGGCAACTGGTTTGAGATCCTTCTTACTGGACTCAAGTGGTGGTCTAGAAACTTGTGCATGACACTGGCGATTCAGAAACTCAATGAATTCAGAAACCGAATGAGCTTCCCTGATTGATCCAAATCCAGGAAGAGGAAGAAGAATAGAAAAGTATGGAAAGAAGAGAAGATGATGGGTGTGGATGTTTTTGGTCTCCAACCTAAGTTTACTTGAAAATGGCAAAAGGAGTGAGGGAGTCCTAAATAAACAGGCAACTGGCAAATGTACACTGAGCAGCTATTCCATGCTGATCTCTTTGCTCATGCTGTGAAAGATGCAGCTCTTGAGGAGCTTAGATTCTAGCAGAAAGCAGCAAGAATAACACACATGAACTGACAATGAACCACACATGACAGGATCCAACGACACAGAGGATTAATCTGTGTGGTGCAGATGACCAACCCTATAATTCAAAGTTGAAGGGTTTGCTGAGAGCAGAGTCATCACGGAAAACTGTGGGAGAAGGTGGGACTTCATATGGGCCCTGAAGGGTGATAGGAGTGGAGAAGGGGCTGGGGGACCAGGGTGGGTGAGGAGTGGGGAAAGGAAAGGTCCAGTGTGCTCAGGAGTCTGTGGACAAACCATCTCATTGGGAAAAGGGCTTGTGTGGCTGGGAGTAGTAGAAATGAAGAGAAATTGGGTGAGCCTAGATGGTGGAGACATCTGAAAATATGGCCAAGTGGCTATTCATTTCTTCATGATTTTATTAGTCTGGATGTCCTCTCTTCCCTTCCCTTCTCCCTCCCTCCCTCTCTCCCTCTCCCCTCCTTCCTTTCCTTCCATCCTTCCTTCCTTTCTTCCATTCATCCACCAAATAGTTGCCAAGTGCCTGGTAAACACAGCACAGTGCTAGGGCCTATATAAGAAACAAGGAAGTGTGAAGATTGTGTTATCATTAAGAACCTCATAATTTGAAAAGCTCCAATATATTTTTTAAAAAGAACCTCATAATTTGACAAGAGTGTCAAGACCCCCTCCTGAAAAGATGGCAAGTGCTTCAGCAGGGGAGGCGGACCCCTGACTCTGCTGTGGGAGTGCTCCCCAGAGAGGAGATGCAGTAAAGGCTCACCGCTACACCGGGTGATATGGAAGTGGTGTTTGAGTCAAGTCTGTGGGTGATAAAAAAAGGCAGGTATTCCAGGAAAATGATCAGCACACATGGGAATAGGGAATCAAGCATTCTGCTCAGGAACTGCAAGTGGCCTGGCCTGGCCACATAGAGGTGGTGTGCTTGGGCACTGAGATAGATTAAGATGGAAATGGAGAAATCCCAGAACATGAAGACTAGAAAGAAGGTCTGAACCGTCAACCTCTACTGCTCCCTCTTGCCTGGAAGACTGTTAGAGGCCCTTCCCCAGACTGGGTAGCTCTCTTCTTTTTTTGAACTGAGAAACACACAGGTATTAGCTGGAGTTAGGATGACTGCTACAACAAACAATCCCCAGATATCAAGCGTATACCATTCCACCCCAGTGTGATCTGCAGAGAACCCCTGCTCCATGCAGTCATCCAGGGACCCAGGCTCCTTCCATTGTGTGACACTACTCCCTTCAAACACAGTCCACAAGGCTGCTCTGTTGCCAGGTAAAAGACAGCACATGCCAGGCTTGGTGGCTCAGCCTGTAATCCTGCGCCTTAGGGAGGCTGAGGTGAGTGGATTGCCTGAGTCCACAGGTTCGAGACCCGCCTGGGCAACTTGGCGAGACCTCATCTCTACAATAAATCAAAAAATCAGCCGGGCGTGGTAGCGTGTGCCTGTAGTTCCAGCTACTTGGAAGGCTGAGGCGGAAGGATCGCCGGAGCCCAGCAGGTCGAGGCTGCGGTGGCCGGGAGCAGCCACTGCACTCCAGTCTGGGCGACAGAGTGAGACTCCAACTCAAAAAAAAAAAAAAGACAGCACATCCACATGGTAAGAACGAGTCACGTGCCAACCCAGATGCCTAGAAAGAGGAAATAGATTTGACGAGAACCTCTTTCTCCATAAGCTTTGTGTCAAATTGATACCTGACTTAAGGGGGAAGAAACAGAGATACACAGGGCAAGTGGGGAGCCTGAGGGGACACCTGGGGCTATGGGCTCTAATCCAGATTTTTCCTCTGGTTGTGTCCTCATACAGCTAGTGTGTTCCTAGTGCTAGTAGATTTGCTAAACATCTCCCTACCTCAGTTTCCTCATCTGTCCCATAGGAGCTCTAACTTGGTCCTCAAGATAGGAGATGTAGAAGACCCAAGTGGATCATTACCATGTCCATGAGGCAAGGGAACAGGGCAGCCTCAGAGATGTTCATCCCCTACCCACACCCTGTCCCTTCAGTGTCCCCTGCATGATTAAAGAGGAGGCAAAAGAGCGGAATGTTATTACAGCTTTTCCATAATGCAATGTCATCAGGAACCCTGGGCCTCTGGGCAGCACCTGGCAGCCCCATCACTCTTCCCAGCTGCATGAGCTTTTAGGCTGCGCAGGACAGGGCAGGAAGCAGTCTAATAAAACAAACGGCAAGGCAAGACAACTCATCAGCAGCTCTTCAAAATGATCTCAACTTCTGACTTTTGATTTAAATCTGCATCCTCTGTGGCCTAAAACATAAAACAGAAGATGAGGGAAAGAACTAAAATGAGAGTGTGGATGCCAAGAATTTAAGGGGCAGGAGGGAGGGGACATAGCCCTGGGACAACACGGAGTTGAGCGCCAGCCAGGCAGGCTGACTTGCAGCCAGGGCCGGGTCCTTTTTATGACACATTTCTCAGAACTTCTCCCTTCTGCCACTAAGCGGCCCTGAAATGGGACAGAAAGTTTGAGAGCTAATCCAAGAACAAAATCCAGAAATGGACCTGCTCCTGGTTTGCCTTTGATCTTTCTCTTCAGCCTTCTAAGATACACGTACGGAAGGGGCCGGGGTGGGGCTGGGGATAGGCGGGCCAAGAGACCCTGGTTTATATTCTCACGTCATTCTCTTCAGATTCTTCTACTCAACACATATTTAGTGAGAGACGACTGTGCACCAGGCCCTGCTGTCAAACAATGACCAATGC